GGCGGGCTACTCGCTCGTCCTCTGTTCTCAGCTCCAGTTGTGAGGCTGAGATCTACGCCGGGGCCATGGCTGCACAGGAGCTTCGTTGGCTCACCTACCTGCTGACTGACCTTGGAGAGCCGCCTCGTTCTCCTCCAGTGTTGTACGTAGACAACAAGGCCATGCTGGCCTTGTGTCGAGAGCAGCGCTTGGAGCACAGAACGAAGCACATTGCTCTCCGTTACTTTCTTGCTCGTGAGCTGCAGCAGCGTGGTCAGTTGCGACTTGCGTACGTGGCCTCTGAGGCCAACACTGCTGATGTGTTCACCAAGGCACTTGCGCCTTGTGACCATCAGCGCTTCTGCACCCAGCTGGGTCTTGTACCTGTCTTGCCTCACTTGCTCTCTTCTTGACCTTGCTTGTACTGTCACATATATATTCCTGCTCTTGCTTGTCTAGCTCTATATATATATGTGTACTCCTGCATGTGAACTGGCCCTGTTGCCCTGTCGTTGTGCTCGGACTGTGTGGTGACTTTGTGATCCACCCTGAGCTTGCTCTGCTTTGCTTGACTGGTCTTGTGACCCCTTGTTCTCCCCCACTTTGCCTATGGGGGTGTGTCAGAACATATATATAGCTTATGCTGTTGTGTAGGCTATAGTGGGGTATCCCATAGGGGGTACAACCCAATTAGGGTTTCCCATATGTACTCACTTCATTCATAGTTCATTCATTCTCGTTCTACTATTCTCAGGTGTTTCTTGCCTTGTTTCATCCGCAGGTTCGTCGGGCACGGTGACTTGTACTGCCGCTGCTTGAATTGTCATGCCATGATACTTTCCGCTGGTATCGCCGATGGTGATAGTGTCCGTTGTCACTGGTAGCTCCAGTGGCTTCTCAGGGGGTGGGGGCGAGGCTCGTGCGCGGTGATCTTCGGGTTGCGTGATTTCTTCCCCGAGGTTGGCGACGCCGATCGCCACTCCCCTTGTGTTGAGGCGAAATTAATCTCTGCCGTCCGTCGTGATGGGAAGCAGGTGAGATCCGTACTCTGTCAATGACTCTTCCTCCCCGGCTTCTGGTGCATCCTCGGTAATTTCTGGTTCTTCTGCTGCTTCTGCTTGTTCTGCTGCAGGTGCTTCGCCAGCGGTTCCTCAACCGGTTTCAGCTGCGATGGCCTCTCCCGGCGTGGTGTTGTCCATGATCCAGCGCGTGTCTACTGCGTCCCAGCCTTTGGTGGTATTCCAACCGGTAGGTCGTTGAACGGGAGGCCAGAATGTCTGTGTGGCTTCCGTGTTTGTCGACGCAGTTGGTGCGGCTGTTGTTTCTGACGTGATTTCCTCTCCTTCTTCCGTGGTCCTGTGTCTGCAGGGTTCGTGGTGGAGGCGACAGGTACGGCGAGTGCGCGGAAGGTGCCGTCAAGACCAGGTTGCTGGTAGTCGGTTTCTTCTGGGTGACTCCACCTCGGCGGCGACGGGTGGCCCGGAGGGTCAAGAACAAGGATGTGTTTGTTGTCGCCAGAGGTTCTGGGTGACTCGAAGTCAAGCACGAAAACGCCCTCCACGCTTGTTGCCTTTCCGATGAAGATGCCGTTGTATATTAAGTGCATCTCGTCTTCTGTTGTTTGCAGGCCAACTCCGCACTTCATCAGCTGGTGAAGGGACAAGAGGTTGTACCGAAGTTCCGGCACAATGAGGACATCGCTTATGTGGATGCAGTAGCCGGTGTCGTGTGACTCCAGTTGCACTTGTCCGCGGCTTCTGGCGTAGATGGTTTGGCTGTTGGCGACGGTGATCTCCACTTCGTTGAAGAGTCGCTCTCTGTTGAGGATGAAGACGTCCGATGACACCATGTGCTGACCACAACAACTGTCCAGGTACTACGTGTTGATCCTTTCTCGTCTTTGCCAGATTGGCAAGCTTCGGAGTGATGTGATGTTCCATGTCGTGATCGTTCTCGTAGTCATAGTAACATCCTTCCTCGTCGTATGCGATGCGTGCAGGTGGTGACTCCTGGATCCACTCCGGCGCTTCCCAGTCGAATTGCATCCGTCCGACCGTCAACTCGTCGTAGGTTGGATCGTTCTCTTCTTCTTCTTCGACTGATCCTTCGGGCCGCTCCTGAGGCGGATCTGCGAACATATCTTCCCAGCTGCGGAAGAAGCGGTAGTGACGGTTGGGGCGAGGCGGTCCACGACGCACCATGCAAGTTAAGACCTTACCCTTGTCGCTTGTGTTCGCAGAGAGACGCGCCGGAGCTTGGGACGTGCTGGCTACGGCTGGCGGCGACACAGTTTGGTTGCGCGCTGTGGCTCCTCCTTGCTGGTGAGCAGCGGCACCCTTCTGGTTGTTGTTGTTACCGTTCAGCTTCCAGCAGTCTTGAATCATGTGCCCAGTCTTCTTGCAATATTTGCAGAAGAGTCTTTTCTTGTCCGGTGGCGCTTGAGCGTAAAAGGAGATCTTCTCCTTCTTATTGCCTCTTTCGTTGTACAGGTCGATTTCCTTCTGCTCGGAGAGAAGCGTGGAGCAGAGGGCAGTTTCACTGAGAGTGCCTTGTGTGCGAAGGAGAGACCTGCATTGACGCCATTCCGGGCTCAATCCAGCGAGGATGATAGTGACGAACATGTCGTCAGGGAAGTTGCCGCCGCTTTTCCTGAATTGGTCTCTCAGGTTCCTGCAGCGGTTGATGTATGGTCCGGCCTTTTCGCCGGGAAACATCTTGACGTTGTTCAGCTGGTTGAGCAGGCGACTGAGTGTCACCGAATCTGTTGCCATGTGGCGGGTGCGCAGGTGTTCCCAGGACTGTTGCGCGGGCGCCCACTCGTTTTCGAAGGGGCGAATGCTCAGCTGTTCTTCGGGCGACAGGTTCCGAATCAAGACGGTGAAGGCCATGAGCGATTCGTTGTAGTACTGCGTCTTCTCCTGAGGTGAGCCGTTTGTTGGGAAAGCGTATGATCCGTCGTAGTACATCCAGATCTGAGCGCCCTGAGCTAGTAGCTCGAATTCGAAGCTCCAGGTGTAGAAGTCTTGTCCATCGAAGGGCTTGGCTGTCCTGAGCTTTGATGTAGAGAGGAACTTGCTCTGCATTGAAGCCATTGCCTCGTAATGTGTTTGTTGTGCTTGAGCAGATCCTTGAACTCCGCGGTTATCAAAGGTGAAGGATCGTTCAGATCCAGCTCCTTGAGGATCGGGAGGTCTTCGGGCGTAACTTGAGCCGTCAATGCTCATTGGCTGGTGGCTCTCCAGTGCGCTGATGCGGGAGATCAGCTGCTCGAGGAGCGTTGTGTCCACAGTCGTCGTAGTAGAGGCGACATTGGTGGAGGGTTGCACTGGGTTTTCTCCAGTCTCTCCGCAGTCTGCGCCTGGCATGTTGATGCCCTTGATGTTGTTGATGTTGAGATCTATTTATGAAGAAGCTTTGTTGGAAGCCCCTGTAGCAGATCCTATAATCCAAACTAGCTCTCATACCATGTTAGAGTGAGGACCTTGGATAGGATAGGAGTTGCCTTAGAAGAGTTGGTAGCGGAAGTCTTGTTGTAAGAGCTCAGATCATAGTGAATGTAGATGACCAAGTTGATTAAAAGATAGAATACAAGGGATATAAGTAGTCCTAATCTAGCCATATACTCTAAGGGGTACATTCCCTTATTATAACTGCTTTACATGCATTTCTACAGTGACTCTGACTGTTGTACTTCCTTCTTGTTACCGAGTCGCTGCATGTAACCTGTACGGTTACGCCTGTTGCCATTCCTCGATGGTAAGTCAAGCGTCGGTCCAGATGGTCAACAGTCGCGACAGTTGACTCTTGCGACTGTTGACCTTCCTGCCCTCGATATGGGCTGATCCGATACTGCGGTTGTTGCTGCTTCGACAGAGTCAGGTGCGATACTACTGCACCTACGGGAATGCTAAGTATAATTCCTATTCACACTCCAACATCGCACACAAAGTTACTCCTTCGCTAGCACCATCTCGCCCACCCTCGCTGTAACACCGCGTGCGCATCTCCGCCGTCCATCTCCGCAGCTCACGCCCTGTACATTCCGGACACGTAGTATGCACCTCCGCGAATCGCAAACCGCGCTTCCTCCAAATAGTGACCACCACCATGGCCCCACGTGGCTTCACTTCCTTGGTGCATCGAGCTTTCGCACACACGCCAACCTTGCATACTCACCGTACATCTGTCTCGTTAACACAGTTTCGTACACGACACCAGCACTTTCGCTAACCAGTAGTAGTACATTCGCGACTAGCTGACGACTCCATCCTAACCGTCATTCTAATCACCTCGCGTCCAATACCGAGCTGCCCCGGCACGCTCACGTTATACATCCAGACTGTACATTTGTCGTTCGATCGTCCTTTCGCACATATAGTAACTCATCGCCACCCCCACTCATCACTGCAATCCGAAACAATCACGACCGTACAACTGTCGCATCCCGTGAACCACTAATACCGTAGCGCGTGTCATTCTTATTCACCGCATATGCGCGTCCACCTTATCCCTACACCCGCACATGGGGTTACGCGTGTCTTTGCGTCCATGCGTATCTCGGATGCCATTGGCGAAACGGGTTTGGATTGAAAGGCATCAACTCCGTCACTGCCACGTATGCGCTACTACGACGGCCACGATCCAACGCCGACGCGCCATTTGGCGAACCCCGTGACACGCGCCGCAAATCGCGGCGTGACATTAGGCTACACACACACCTGGTTGTCGCGGGGCCCCCCACCTGGCCCAGCCACTGTAGGCTACGGTTGTCAAGACTGTACATCTTTTCCCCATGAATGTATATTATCCTTCATTCAACAGCACACACACAAGCTCCTAACATTTTCCAAATGACCCCCTATACCCACTAATAGCCATATCCCGCATGCAAAACCTCCCAAACACGCTTTCACTCTACTCCTCCCGCACACTCAAGTGAATCACAGGTTGCAACCAACAAGGTCCCATCCCTTCCCTTCAACGACCCGCATCATACCCATCAAACCAACAAGGGCGTTAATCTACTCCGCCCCGAATGACGCCGAAAGGTCATCATCCCCGACTTGGTCCTCGGAAGGAGCTCCGCCCTTGTCTCCTCGGAGGCAATCGAAGTATCCATTCTCGCAACATAAGTATCCAGTGTGATGCTCCCATAATGACGCAGCGAAACATATTTCTACATCAACTCCTCCACGCAACTCCACCTAACCCCACCCACCAGTTTCCCCCGTCCGTAAATTGGGCAGTCCGACGTGGTGGACTTTCGGATTACCGCAATCCAAATTCACAAATGACTGCACACCACGTCATCCGCATCGCTCTGATATGTGTGCACTCCAGAACCACACACTGCGCACATCCACGTGAACAATCCGTATCCTTGTTGTTCGGTATTGTAACCTTTTGAGCTTCGTTCCGCACACTGTCAACCAACTACACTTTCACTCTGCACTCTTATACTGGGTTAATTGAACATCATTAAGAAACACCACGTGTCCCAACCATTTATGAATGCACTTTTACCATCAACGCCATATGCATACAAAGAAACAAGATTAACCCCTGCAGGTGTCTCGCATTGCAACGCCCACTAACAACGCAGTATATCACTCAGGCTAAAATTTGCTGTCCATCTGCATCCCCAATGCAGCGGGGGCTGACGTCTTATCATGTGTAGTCGCCTCTTCCACCTGCACACCTTGGTCCGTGGTCTTCGTACCATCGCCTTTATCGTTGTTGACAGGAGTTGTTCCCCCACTCTCAGCATTGTCGGGGTCATCTGGTTCGTTCGCCCCTGTGGCGTTGCTGTCTCCCACCCTCTGCCTCTTTACCACACCTCTGGCACTTCCCCGCTTCCTTCCGCGTTTCAGCTTGCTGCTGACGCCCTCGAGCGCATCCCGCCAGCTCCTCCACCTCCACCACTTCCTTGCTTCCACAAGGAGTTGCAGATCGTCTTTGGTGCATCCACACAGCAGCCCCTTCTCATGAGTTGTCAGGTTCACTGTGTTGGGTATCTTGTCTCTCGGCCTGAGCACGCACGCAGCTGCGGCGTAAGCGTATGCCGCCTCGTCGATCGAGGTGTACGCTCCCAGGCGCTGTTGCTTCCGCTTCCTGCCCTCCTTCATCAGGATCTTCACACCATACTTGCCAGAGTCCTTCTCTATCTTCACTCCGGTATACTTGGTGGCACTCGCGTCGTCTTCCTCGTCTTCGTCGTCTGTATCTGAAACCAGATCTTGGTCTGCTTCGGCCTTCACCGTCTCAGGCGCTCGCGTATCTCCCCACGCATCCCCTGTCGGCACCGTAACCCCTGTCAGCTGTCTCCCGCGTGTGAACATCAAGTGAGGTATGGTTCCGTGCGCCAAGAGCGGGTTCGGCAAAATGCGCGCGGGCGTGTCACATGCAGCAAACGAGGAGGCCAGAGCAATCCGGGTGGCGTTGCGTACTCCCTCCTCCTCTGGACTGCTGTCGTCCCGTCTCTTGCGACCCGATGGACGCTGTGGGGTTCGAGGAGCGGTCTTGCTGCCACCTGCCTCTGCTTTCCCGCCAGGGGACATGCGCTGCTCGTGCAGGAGTAGTTGGGTTGTCGCAGACACCACGTCCTCCCGCCTCAATCCTATGACGTTGGCTATGACGGTGAAACTCGCGTCCATGAACCGAACTTCATTCTTCAGCATAGTCACCTCCTTCATCATCTCGGTAACCCGTACGTCCTCTCCAAGGTGAGCGTCCTGGAGTTGCCTCGCATCTCCTGTTCCAGTGTTCTTCTCCTGCACCACTGTGTTGTAAAGTAGAGGTGAACGAGAATGGATGAAACTAGGTAGGAGGGGGATACAAGTAGGAAACCCTAACAAAGTTGTACCCCCTAAGGCTAAACCCACTATAGCCTACACAATTTAAACATATAATGTTTGACACACCCCCATAGGCTAAGTGGGAGACAACCAGATGGTCACAAGACCAGTCAAAGCAAAGCAAAGCAAGCTCAGGGTGGATCTCAAGGAAACCACACAAATTCTGAGCACAAGCAAGTGGTCACAAGACCAGTTCACATGCAGGTTGATAGTATAACAAGAGATACAGCGATCACAACCTAGCAAGAGTAAACATGCAGGTATATATATATAGAGATCACAGTACAAGCAGAGTCAAGAAGTAAGCAAGTGAGGCCCAGTAGGCACAAGGCCTAGAACAGTACAGAAGCGCTGATGGTCACAAGGCTGAAGCGCCTTGGTGAACACATCAGCAGTGTTGGCCCGAGTGGCCACGTAACGCAGACGAAGCTGACCGCGCTGCTGCAGCTCTCGAGCAAGGAAGTAGCGCAGAGCGATATGCTTCGTTCTGTGCTCCAGTCTGTGCTCCTCACACAAGGCAATGGCAGCCTTGTTGTCGACGTACAGCACTGGAGGAGAACGAGGCCGCTCTCCCAAGTCGGTCAGCAGGTAGGTGAGCCAGCGTAACTCCTGTGCAGCCATGGCTGTGGCGTAGATCTCAGCCTCACAACTGGAGCTGAGAACAGAAGACGAGCGTGTAGAACGCCAAGAAACTGAACCAGAGCCAAGGCTGAAGGTGTAACCCTGAGACGACCGCTGAGTAGCCTGGTCGTCAGCCCAAGACGCGTCTGAGTGCCCAGTGAGTACAACTCGGTCTCGTCCTCCAAGCACTAGCCCCATGCCCGACGTACTGCACAAGTAGCGCAACACCCTCTTAGCGGCATCCATGTGCTCCTTCCGGTGACGGCCAGGAGCGACATAGCGTGCAAGGATGCTAAGAGGGTATGCAAGGTCAGGTCGAGTGCAGGTCATCAGGTACATGAGGCAGCCCACAAGCTCTGGATACGGGCCACTCGGCTCTACGGACTCATCCGAAGGCAGAGCTGAGAGCGAGTGACCGGTAGGCAGAGGAGTGGGCTGAGGCGAGGAGTACGTGAAGCGGAAGCGCTGAAGGACCTGCTGCACCATGTGTGACTGAGTCAAGGTGATGGTGCGCCGTGCTCTGTCCCGGGTGATCCGCAAGCCAAGATAGCTTGTCAGTTCACCCAGGTCTATGCACGTGTGTCTCTTCTGCAGCTCCGACTTCACGTGGGCGAGTGCCGCAGTGTCAGCAGTGGCAAAGACCAAGTCGTCGACGTACACGAGGATGTAGAACGGCGGCAGTGAGGTGTCGGTGCGTAGAAACAGCGACGGGTCAGCAGTAGAAGGAGCGAACCCAAGAGCCGCAAGTGTAGTCCTCAGTGTGTCGTGCCACTCACGTGGCGCCTGTCGGAGACCGTAGACTGGCCGCCGGAGGCTCCACTGGGTACCAGGAGGGAACGACCCAGTGAAGCCAGGTGGGCGGCGCAGCCAGATCTCCTCGTGCAGGCTGCCCTGTAGGAAAGCAGTGCTGAAGTCAAGAGAGTGGAGCTCGTAGTCACGCTGAGCGGCGACGTGCAGCAGAACCCGAAGAGTGGTCATCTTCGGGGTCGGGGAGAAGGTCTGGAAGAAGTCAACTCCCTCTCGCTGACTGAAGCCTCGTGCAACGTAACGCGCCTTGAAGACAGGCGGAGAACCCGGCGGCCGCTTCACCCTGAAAATCCACATGCCACTGACGATGTTCGCCCCAGGTGGGGGAACCTCGTCGACGTAGGTGCCTGTGGACTTCCAGGAAGCCATCTCTGCGTCCATGGCTGTCTGCCACTGAGAGGAGTAGGGACCCTCTATCGCCTCTGCGTAAGAGCGCGGAGTCGGGATGTCTGGTGCATCCGGGTCTCCCTCAGGGGCAACTAGCATGGAAACGAGATGAGTTAAAGCAGCGGCAAAGCACTCAAACTCCTCCTGCCTGTCCTCAAGGACGTCCGTGCCAAGAGCACACTCACCCCCGACGGACGGAGGACAGACAGACTCAGACTCAGCAACTAGGCTAGCGGCGTAGTCTAGACGACAAGCGGCAGCAAAGTCGACAAGCTCAGCAACTAGGGCAGACGCAGCAGTGGACTCAAAGGAAGGGTCAGTGACAACAGTAGCCAGGAGACGCGTGACAGTAGGACTGGTAGCACGAAGGGAGTCAGACTCAGGGTCAGCAAGAGCAGGAAGAGAGGACGCAGGAGGAGACGGGAGAGGGACACGCTGAGGAGCAGTGGAAGGACGAAGCGCCATCTGGTGAGTGCCTGGGACAGCAGGAGGACGCTGACGCGGGACACGACGACCAGTGTGAGCAGCACGAACACGCGACGCTCGACGAGACTCAGGCGACGCAGGACGAGACTCAGGCTCACGACGCTCCGTAAGACCTCCAGTCGGACCAGTGTAAGGAGAAGGACCAGGGAGAGGGGAGGCAGACGGTAACTGTGACTGCGACTGGACAGACGGAGGACACTCTAAGGAGGGAGGAGGACAAGGAGGAGGAGGCTGACCAAGAACCTGCTGAAGGAGCGGAACGAAGTACGGCCGCGGCCGCGTAGCGTCTCCAGAACCAGCAGAGACACCAGCGCCAGGGTCGTCAGCACCAGCAGCAGCACCAACTCCAGGGTCCTCAGCACCAGCAGCAGCTCCAACTCCAGGGTCCGCAGCACCAGCAGCAGCTCCAACTCCAGGGTCCGCAGCACCAGCAGCAGCTCCAACGCCCGGGTCCGCAGCACCAGCCGCAGCTCCAACTCCAGGGTCCGCAGCACCAGCAGCACCTCCAGGAGTAGCAGTACCTCCAGCAACTCCAACAGCAACAGCACCAGCAGCACCTCCAGCAACTCCAGCAGCACCAGCAGCACCACCAGTAGCAGCAGCACCTCCAGCAGCTCCAGCAGCTCCAGCACCAGCAGTACCTCCAGCAGCGCCAGCAGCACCGCCAACAGCAGCACCTCCAGCAGCTCCAGCACCAGCAGCACCTCCACTAGCACCAGCAGCACCGCCAGCAGCAGCAGCACCTCCAGCTCCAGGGTCCGCGACACTAGGAGCGCCACTCCGGAGACTGTAGCGCCGTGCGTACCACTCTCGGAGCCGCTGGGGAGAGGGTAGCTCCCGCCTAGGAGGGGAAGCACTAGCCCCAGCTCCAGCAGTACTCCTAGCTCCAGAAGCACCTCTCCTGAGGCTGCAGTACTGTAAGTACCACTCACGCAGCTGCTGTGAGGAGAGAGCTCCTCCAGGTGTAGCACTCCCAGGCGCAGCACCTCCAGACTCAGCACCCCCAGACTCAGCACCCGCAGGCTCCGCACCCCCAGGCTCAGCACCCCCAGACTCAGCACCCGCAGGCTCCGCACCCCCAGGCTCAGCACCCCCAGACTCCGCACCCCCAGGCTCCGCACCCCCAGGCTCCGCACCCCCAGGCTCCGCACGCTCAGGCTCAGCACCCTCAGCAGGACGAGAGTCGACAGCTACCTCGACAGGCTCAACCGGGTCTACCTGGGACACACCTGATGGAGCGGCACCCTGAGGGGGGAGGGGGTCTACCACAGCAGCACCTGGCGCGAGGAAGAGAGGCGGGGGGGGAAGCGGGGCAGTGCGGTAGGGGAAGAGGCGGTAGTAGGGGACGGACTCGTCGAACGTGACGTCCTGAGAAGGCAGGACACTGCGCGAGGTGGGGTGGTAAAACTGCCAACCAGACGCGTCCGGGACAAAGCCAAGGAAGACACAAGGAACAGCGCGGGAGGAGAGCTTGTCCGCAGACGTATCGCGGACAAAAGCTCGAGATCCCCAGACCCGAAAGCGTGACGCATCGCCAACCTCTCCCGTCCAACGCAGTGTCGGCGAAGTCTCCGGAACGGAGACACGGGGCCAGAGGTTGAGCTGATGCGCAGCGTAGCGGACCGCAAACGGCCACAGAAAGTGGGGGGGCAGCCGCATGGATCAAGGAGGTACGAGCGACCTCCATGACCAAGCCAATGCGGCGCTCAGCAACCCCATTCTGCTGTGGAGAGGCCGGAAGCGTGAACGACTGGCGAATGCCGTGCTCCGCACAGTAGGCTGCCAAGAGGTCGGAGGAGAACTCACCACCTCTGTCAGAGTGCAGACGCAGGACAGGAAAGTCCGAGTGGAAACGCTCGCTGAGCTGGAGACGAGAAGCGCGGATCCAAGGGATCAAAACATCAGGGACCTCACCCTTGGTGCGCAAGGGGAAGACCGTGGTGCAGCGCGAGTAGTCGTCAACAACTATCAGGAAGTACCTCTCCTGACCCTGACCACGGACGCGGGCTGGGCCCCACACGTCCATGTGGAGCGTCTGCAAGGGAGCAGTCGTCAGGGGAAACGAGGAGGAGTGAGGAGCGGCGCGCTGCCGCCCCTCGACACAGGGAAGACAGGGAGGAGCAGGCGAGGGTGGGAGGGGAGGGAGAACCCTGGGAAGACCAGAGACAAGGTACCGTTTGTGCATGGCACGAAGGCGCTGCACGGACGGGTGACCAAGTCGGTGGTGCCAGAGGACGGTCTCGTGCGCCAGAGAGCGACACGAGCAGGGGGCCGACAGCTGACCTGACGCAGACGCAAACGCAGCTACCTGAGGGGACTCAGTGGTCAGTGTGTACAGGTCCGACCCCGGCTGCCGAGTGAAGGTAGCCAGGTGACGGCCCGTCCGAGCACACGTGCAGTGTGTCACGCGCTCGTAGGCAGGGGTGAACTGGTGAACACCCCCGTCCTGGAGCGCACAACCTGCCACCAAGTTCGTAGAGAACGAGGGGAGGTGGAGA